GCATTAATTTCATCAACATCATGGTGATACATCCCTGCCAGATACAGGCAGCAATGTTTTCATCTACCATGTTATCCTGTCTCGTTTTTCTTGTCCATCCACATTTCTGGAGTGCATGATAGAATTTCCCTCAGCTTTCAATATCAATAGCAGTCTGTCAGTGTGAAAAGTAGATTCATGTATAATGATGTCAGTTAAAAGGGCAGTCTTCTCATAGTGAACAAATTTCTCATAGCGGAGGAACCCCGAGTGCTGCGAACAGGGAAAATGCATCTTACATTAAGATGATGTGCGTAGTTGTGAGGATTTTTATGGGTTCAGCTTTAAATTTAGTAACCAGAAATGCAGGGGAAGTGGGGAAAAGTGAAAATGTTAGGTGAACCCTAGTATTCAGGTGTGAATTAAAAAAAGAAAAAGCTTGGAGGGAATAAATTTAAGGCAATATACCATAAAATAGGATAGCAAAGGAGCAGGCAAAACACTGAGAGTTGTTTCTTTCCCCAAATGCAGTCCTGATGAAGAAAGATTTTTAAATATAATTTTTACACCGAGTTATTATAGATGTTTTTATTTGGTTCTGTAAATATATTTTGATCAAGTCCGAAACCAGTCATTTTCATAATTATGGGGGAAGATAGTCACTTCCCCATTGAGACCCTACACGTGCAGTCTTCCTCAGAAGATGCATAGAAAGCAGATTTCCCCCCCCCCCCATCACCAAGCTAGAAAACCGGCCAATTTGTGCCCTAAGTGTCACTAAATTATGATCTCAGTGGTCTAGATTCAGCTGTAGCTGGAAGCAAAAGAATGTGTTCTTGCCATGTAGAAAATTGGCTGTCAAGTAATTTGGCCTTTGGTCTCAGCTTTTCTATTGTTAAAAAAATACTGATTTAAGTGATAAACTAGACCTCTATAGTGGCACTGCTCACCTAAAGAGTTACTACCTCAGTGACTGCTAGGTCTAAAGGTGGGAGTAAAGGCTAAGTGGCATTTATTCAACAAGGGACATTTGACACTGTTATTTCTCTGGTCCTTTCCACTGTGATGGCCAGAACCATCACCATGGTTCTGGTCTTCATGGCCACCAAATCAGGACCCAGCATAAGGAAATGGGTAGGCAAAAAAAGCCGCATTGTACTGATCTTTCTGGTCCCTTAATTCAACCAGCTCTTTGTACTCTTTGGCTAAGTGCTTTCCCACCCTTCCCAGATCAGGCTAGGCACTCAGTGCCTGGGAAAATCATACTGCAATTCAATGAAGGGTCAGCTGCCATGTTTTACTGGGTTGTAGGCTACATGTGTTTCCTGGCCATCATCAGCTTCACTACAGCTTTTCTAGCCAGAAAATTACCCAATAGTTTCAATGAAGCCAAGTTTATCACTTTTAGCATTTTGTTTGTTTGTTTGTTTTTGCAGTGTTTAGTTATCTTTCTTCTCAACTTTTTTGAGCACCAAAGGGAAATCCATGTTGGCTGGGTTACTGACTTTCATCTTTTCCTCAAAACACTACTTTTTTTTTTAGGACAGAGCTGAACAACATGGAGCAGTTAACCAGGAATGTAAAAACTATGAGTTTTCCTGTCTTATACAATGGACCTCGAATTACCCTCTCAGAAATTCTAGTTTTTAAGGATCATTGAAGGAATCCATCACAGTTTAACTGCTTTATAAAAGCTCTTCCTCACTTTTGAAGTGGTTTTCTCTCCCTCTTTCAACACCACTGATATCAACTGGCCTTTGTAGGGAGCAGTGCTTACTGCTTCCCTTCCTTGCTTTGTCATTATAAGACCTCACTTCATAACAGTGTCTCCTACTATCCCGTGATTTTTTAACATGAGACCAGCTCATTGCACTTTTGCTACGGAAGACAGGCGGAGTTTCCAGGCGCGATCTCACCAGCACATCGGGGGAGCGTAGCGCTTCTGTGGCACAACCGAGGCTTCCTCCCGAAACCGCGCAGCAAAAAACTAGTACCTCGGAGGTACTAGTTTCCAGAAACTGCGGGGCAAGGGCGGGTGTCTGATCGCGTTTCCGGTGGCATCCGGCGCCCGCCCATGTCCCCTTGTGAAAAAGGTTTTTTTTTCCAAGTCCCCGTGGTTGCGCACATGCACCCAATGGAGCATGCGCATTCGTAGTGAACACACACAAAAAACAACTAGTGCGCCGCGCGCTTCTTCGGTGTGCGCAGGCATGTGTTGTGATCTACGCCTCTCCGTAACCACAGAAGCTCCACGGTACCTCCACAGAACCTCCACAGGAGGTATGATCGCTTTACTGCGTGTTAGTTTGCCCCAGGGCAAACAGCCACGCTTCCCCCCCCCCCGCAGTTTCCTACCCATGTGACCGGGGCCTCTGTTGTCCTTTGTTGTTGTGCAGTCTGGTTGAGGACATCCCACCTGGAGGCTGGCAGCCCTACCTCCAAGGCTTCTCCTTCTCCCCACTATCACTGACAATGTCAGCATGCTCCTTGTAACTCTTTGGCTCCCTGTTGAGGTTTCTTCCCCTGACCATTGGAGGTCAAGAGCCTTCTCCCCTCTCATCACCACAGCCAGTGAGCCCTTTGTGGTTCCCGGCTTCCACTGCGGAGCTGCCAAAGCTTCCACTACCACCCATTACCAATGACAATCCCGGCTCCTGTCCTCTGCAGCATCCTGCCATAGGAAGAGGAGGAGGTAACGGCATTGTTCACCTTCCAAGACCTGAGGAGGGCTATTAATGATAGCATGTTCTGGAGGTCATTAGTTCACAGGGAAGCCAAAAATGAGAAATGACTTGAGAAACGAGAAATGACTTAAGAAATGAGAAATGACTTAACACATATACACACCCACACGTACACAATCACATGGCTGCCATTTGTGTGTGTGTGTGTGGGTAAGAACCCAACAATCGTTAATGATTGCTCCGTATAAAGTCTTTTATGTCATCATTTCTTGACAAAAGCCTACTTTTGTGGAAGATTTCCTTGATTCAAATTTCTGTTTTCCTTTATGGGCAGGTGCTGCCTCTATCTGAGTGCAATGACCACTGCCTTCCGGGCTACAGCAAGAGGAAGAAAGAGGGAGAGAAATTTTGCTGCTATGATTGTTATCCGTGTCCAGAAGGGATGTTCTCTGAGCAAATGGGTAGGAGATGTTTTGTGAAACGTTCTCATTCAAGGTGTACATATGTAGCAGCCTTATGATGAATTGGATGATTGGTCCTTCATGGTCAGCATGCTCTACTCAGATTGACAGTGGTTATCCAATGTCTTAGGCAGATGTCTTTCGGATCACCTCCTACCTGATCCTGTTAGCAGTCAGTCCCCTGCTTTTGCAGAGGGGCAGTTTAAAGTGAAGAGATGCAGAAAAACTAGGGTTGCCAGCTGGGGGTCCTTTCCGGGATCTTCTGCTGCATGTGCAAAGTGTGCACAGTGCAATGATGTTCCCCAGAAGTGACATCTTCACATCACCAGAGTTGGGGCTGATGCTCTAGTTTTTGGGCAAAACTCTATGGTTTGTATCCAGTTTTTTCCATAGAGTTTTGCCCAAAAAATAGAATGTCACCATGCAATGTTGGCGACATGATAACATCACTTCTTGGTGATGTCATCACATTGCCTTTCAGGCCAGTTGGTGTTGGGGGTCTAGAAACCCTAAGAAGTTCCCATCTTAATATATCATCTAAGAACTGTAAGTACAGGACACTGCCTAGCCAAAAATGACTCAACATGGATGCCAATCAGAAATAAGCCTGGGAAAGTATTTTTGGAAGGTGAGTAAGAGCAGTTGACTGAAAGCTGTCTCCTCCATGCCCTTGGACTAAATTCACCAAGTCCAACCTTACTTCCTCTGCACCTACTTACCCTAATTAAGCAGCACATAATCAATTCTCAATTCTATTTACTCATTAGCTTCCTGTCCAGTATTTGCAGAGTCATCAAGCACCTTTCACACTTTTTTCATAACTTAGATACCCTAAGAGGAAAGGCTAAGGGCCCTGGGAATGTTTCGTTTGAAGAAGAGGAGATTGAGGGGGGACAGGATTGCTCTCTTTAAAGATTTGAAAGGCTGTCATTGGAAGGAGGGCAAGGAGCTGTTCCAGTTGGCAGCAGAGGATAGGACCTGAAGCAATGGGTTTAAATTGCATGCAGAAAGGTATCAGCTGCATATTAGAAAAAACTTTTTCACGGTCAGAGTGGTTCAAAGGTGGAATCAGCTGCCTAGAGAGGCGGTGAGCTCCCCTTCACTGACAGCTTTCAGGAAGAGGCTGGACAAATATTTGTCAGAGATACTTTAGGCAGGTCCTGCACTGGGCAGGCGGTTGGGCTAGATGGTCTTTATGGACCCTTCCAACTCTATGATTCTCTGATTCTAACTGCAGGAAGATGATGAAAGATTGGTGATTAAAATTCTGTTTTTGATGCATCTTGTCTGTCTGTCTGGACATTTTAATGCCAGAAGTTGCTCTCAGTAGCGAGGCCATTATCTCCCCCATAATTATGAAAACTACCAGTTTCTGGCTTGTTGAGAATGGATGTACACAGTAGAAAAGTCAATGATATATGTGATAAACTATATAAAAATTCACCTTTTGTCATCAGAACTGCTTTTGGGGAAAGACGCTTCTTTTGCATGCTTCTTTGCTATTCAGTTTATGGTAACTTTCCTTGACACTCTCCATGGTTTGTTTGTTTTTAAATCCACACCTGCATATTCTAGGTGACCCAGTCCTTCCTCTTTTCAGAACTCACTCAACTAGTTCTGGTTACTCCTCACAACTACACACATCATCTTTATGTAATGTGTATGACTCCTATTTGCTACTCTCTAGCCTCCTTCATTACAAGAAGTCTCTTCCCCCCCACTATTAACTGACATTATGGAAGGACTGGATGCATGAAAGGAATATTTCCGTCACTTTATGACATATCAGACATATCAGATAGACTGCTGCTGATGTTGAGGACTGAGGGAAATTCTGTGATGCCCTTCAGAGAAATGAAGTGAAATAACGTGGTAGATGAAAGTATTGGCATTTGTGTTTGGCAGGGATGTTCGGTCACCAGGATGCTGCCAAAAACTAGAGGCCTTCAAAGAGGCAGATGGACAAGGAAAAATGAAGCGGAATAATGTGGTACATGAAAACATTGGCATTTGGCAGGGATGTTTGTTCACCAGGATGCTGCTGATACTAATGTGGCTGCTGATGCGGCCATGTCCCATAGTGTGTGAGATGAATTCCATCAACTGCACCATATTCAATGATCCCGTTCCTATTCCTCACCAGTTTTATCAGTCAGGGGACGTACTCATTGGTGGGATCCCCTCTCAAGCTGCATTCTCAAATAACCTTCTTTCTTTCATAGAACATCCTGCACAAATGGTGGTTGATGACCCTGCGTAAGGCTTATTTTTCTTTTTATAACTTGTTTTGATCATTGTGATTGATACAAACTGTTGAGTCATACATTAGTTGAGTTACTATAGTTTGCTTAGTATTCTCTGTGTAGACTAGAATTCCAGGAGACATTGGGGTCATCATTTCCCACAGGATTTAGGATTTGTCACACCATGGTCTACTGAAATAACTTCCCTGTGATTTCCCCCTTGTTATGGTCAATTCTGAATTCTCTGAGACTAGTGATGTCAGGTAGCCAGTTGGAGTAAGAGTCAATTATGAAATGTTCTATCTCGATTTGAATACCCATGGCTACTCATCCTGTCCATTTCTATTCTCTGATGTAACAACACCACATGTCTCTCTCTTCAAACCATTTTTTCCATTCCTCCCAACACTTTTTCTTTTACAAATGAGCAAATTTTTGAATAGGTTATGCAGAAATGGCATAAAAATGGCACGTGTGTTGAAATGACAAAATATCAGGTATTTTTTCTGAATACTACTGAAATCTGTTCCACCCAAAAAAAAACAAACACAGGAAAGTGGTCTCATGGAATCATCCTTAGATGCCACCAAGGTAGAAAAGGATGGAAGGGGGGAGAGAAAAGAGAATCAAACATAAACAAACCTTCCCTTCTGCCATTAATGCCCATTTCCATTTTATCTGCAAAGTTTCTCACTTGTATTTATGCCAGACTAACTTTTCTTATAAATACTGAGATAGAAAAGCCTGCTGAAAAACTAGAAACACAGATGGAAAGATGAAGTTTGCATATTCTTTTTAAAAAAGAGATCTCTTATTCACTTTTGCAGGTCAGTAACAAAATACTACCAGCATATCTTGGCCTTGGCATTTGCTATCAAAGACATAAATGAGAATCCCAACTTCTTATCCAACATCAGTTTGGGTTTCTACATCCTCAACTCTTACCCTATTGGAAGTATGACATATAGGGCCACTCTCTACCTATTATCTGCACAACAGAAGCTGGTACCCAACTTCAGCTGTACTACACAGAAGAAACTCATATCACTCATTGGAGGACTTCTCTCTGAAGTCTCTGCTAATATTGCCACCATTCTGAACATCTACAAAACTCCACAGGTAGGCTGGATGCATGCAGGTATGGAAAATCCTCATGCTAACATGCAATTCCCCATTCTTCTTTAATCCACAAGAAAAAAAATTAACTGTCCATTTATTTTCAGCTCACATATGGATCATTTTCCCTCACACAGGATGACAAAAAGCAATTCCCTTTTGTGTATAAGATGGTTCCTAATGAAGCCTATGAGCATAGGGGAGTTGTCCTACTACTGCGCCATTTTGGATGGACTTGGGTTGGCCTCCTGGCTGTGGATGATGACAGCGGAGACAAGTTTCTGCAGACTGTGGAACCAATACTGATTGAAAATAGCATTTGTGTTGCTTTCACTTTCCGATTAGCCAAACCATCTTATGCAGAAGAATTCGCAGAGTTGTTTTTTATGCAGTGGGAAAAATACCCAGTTCTCTTGGACAGAAAAGCCAACGTATGTTATGTACATAGTCAACCACCAGCCATGATGATACTACGTTCAATCTTACTTCAGGCACCCATATTTTCATTACCCTTACCTGGGAAAGTGTGGATTACTACATCCCACTGGGACTTTGAGTCAGCCTCTATCCAAAGGTTTTGGGATATTGAGAGTTTTCATGGTGCCCTGTCCTTTGCAGTCTATTCCAATCAGCCACCCAGATTCCAACAATTTCTTCAGACCATAAAACCTTCTTGGGATAGAGGAGATGGTTTTATTCAGGACTTTTGGGAGCAGGCATTCAGTTGTTCATTGAAAGTATCTAAAGAGGAGAAGGAAAATAAACAGACCTGTACTGGGGAGGAGAAACTGGAGACCCTTCCTGGGGTTTTGTTTGAAATGGGTATGAGTGGTCACAGCTACAACATCTACAATGCTGTCTATTCAGTGGCACATGTTTTGAATGACATCCACTTATTGAAATCCAAACACAAAAGACTGGTAGGAGGAGGAAGGGTGGATTTCCAGAATGTACAGGCTTCACAGGTAGTTCTATGGTCATAACATTGGTCATCACATCATCGAGAGGGAGTAAGAATAGTTCTTGTTAAGTTCATTCAAAGTTAATTGAATGTGACTTCACTCCATGGCCTCAGACAGGGGACCCTGTCCACACATTGTAAACACCCTGTTCAGTCCCGGCTTGGCCACAATCACATACAGCACACACAAATACTATTTGTACAGCACCCACTCAGCTTTCTGCAGACACCACCTTAAACCCCAATGTCTTCCCACTGCCCTAGCCAACCTTTGCTGCACAGTCCTCAGACTCCATCGACAGTCCTCCTGCCCCTCCCCAGTCCTTGCCCCAGCATCTTCAGACTCCTCCCCAAAGTCCTCTTCACTCTGTCAGGCGTACTCTAGAGCCAGTTCCTTGGATACCACAACCATTTCTATGGGTTAATATCTGTGGTTCCCCTGATCTCCAATGTACTGGAGAGCTGCTCCTGCACCCCTCTCACTGGTTTGTTGCTCCAAACTTTTTCTGTCTGCTCTGAGAGCCCTGTGACCAGTATTATCACCTCTTCCTACCTGTCATCTTCCTTCTGGTATAGGAATGTCCACCCCCCTGGCTTTTGCTGGGTTCCATAATCCACTTCTCCGCTGACCCCTCCAGAAAACTTGCTAATCCAATATAAGGCTCCTCACTCTCACACACACACACACACCGGTCCCTTTTAAAGGGGTATCTTCTACGTCATGGTATGTTTTTCCCCTTGATCATCAGAGGAGGAGGAACTGGAGGAGGAGGTTTCCATTTCAAGGGTCCAGGATCCTTCTTCAACAAACTAAAATGAAACACAGGATGGACGTGATTGAGGGTCTTTGGCAGTTCAACCACCACAGTCATTTATTAACCAACCGTCCCACCTTGAAAGGACCAATGTATCTCCACCCTAACGTCTTTCCAGGTTGCACATCCCTCAAGTGCCTCATGGAAATATACACCGAGTCTCCAGGTTTGAAGTCCCACTCTGAACCCCTGTGTTTGTCTGCCTGACGTTTATCATCCTCTTTAGCCTTTTCCAGAGTCTTTTGCAAGGTTGCCCACCCTTGAGTTATGTTAGACTACCATGTGTGGGCATCTCCCACTTTAGGGTCGGGTGCAGTCAGAGTAGGCATAGGGCCCCCTTCATACTCATGCACTGATTTGAAGGGAGACATGTCTATAGAGCTGTGTATAGATTTATTGTAGCTACATTCTGCAAAAGGGAGCAAGTCCACCCAATCATCCTGTTGCTGGTTGATGAAACACATGAGAAATTGTTCCACCACTTGATTAAGTAGTTAAGTGTGCAGACTCTAATCTGGGAGAACCGGTTTTGATTCCCCACTCCTCCACTTGCACCTGCTGGATGACCTTGGGTCAGTCACAAGCTCTGGCACAGCTGTTCCTGAAAGAGCAGTTAGTGTCAGAGTTCTTTCAGCCCCACCCACCTCACAGGGTGTCTGTTGTGAGGAGGGGAAGGGAAAGGAGTTTGTAAGCCGCTCTGAGCCTCCAAGTGGAGGGCGGGGTATAAATCCAATATCATCTTCTTCTTCTTCTTCTTCTTCTTCTTCTTCTTCTTCTTCTTCTTCTTCTTCTTCTTCTTCTTCTTCGGCTTGGTGCCCATAGCTCTGTTGCCTTTCTGCTTATCAGGTTCAAGACTGGGATTCTTGGTCCCCGTGCCTCTGTCTTTGTCTGACATCATGGATAGGGTGACAGTCGGAAGAAAAGGGGAGTTATAACACTCTGTCCGTTTTTTTCACAGTCTCATTAAGTTGTGCTTGTTGTGAATTGTTTTACTTCCAGTTACTCTCGTCTTGTTCTAGAGGCAAACGCATCACCATGCCCCCTGGGAGCATTTTGCCATCTAACTGGATAGATTGTCAGACCCCCAGTCTAGTTACACTCAACAACTCTCTTTTGGCAGTGAAAGTTTATTGAGTTATATGCAAGATCTAAAAAGTCACTATGTTAGAACTGAAGACTTTTGGCGGGTACAATCTTATTATAGGAAATTCATCCATCACCATCCATCACCCAAGCATATGTCATACACATACTCCATTTAACATTGCCATGCCAACCAGGAGAGATATATGTTCTGGTAATCTAGAGTCTGAGATGAAACAAGAATGGGTTCAAGGCCACCTTCCCCTGGAAAATCTGAAGAGGAGGGGAAGGAGGATGACTTGTGGAAAAGTTACATCTTCTAGAAGCAAAGGGCGCAAGCACTCATACACACACTCCCACCCTCAAAAATGCCCTTCCCCAAAAGCTATGGCAACCCAAGCGAGTACAGCTTAGTAAAGTTTGACACATAGAAAGGCAGGCAAAAAGACAGACACACAGATAGACAGACAGATTATTCCAAATCTATGGGGGACTTTATTAAGCAGGGAGCTAACATTTCAGTGAATCTCTTTTTCCTTTTGTTTAATGTTCTGTTTTCACCCAGATCCACAGCTTTTTAAGGAGCATCTTGTTCAATAATAGCATTGGAGACACCGTACGCTTTGATAAATACAATGAATTAGTGACAGATTTTGATGTTACCAACTGGGTTACCTTCCCAAATGGCTCATTTGTTAGAGTCAAAGTTGGAATACTGGCTCCCCATGCCCCTCCAGGCAAGGAACTAAGTCTTAATGATGCTCAGATTGTGTGGCATGGAAGTTTTAACCAGGTGAGTTATACTTGCAGGTGTTTGTCTAAACACAGCAAGCACATTTCTGTCCATTAAAATTAATTAAAATGTTGCAATCTAACTTCTCTTTGGGAGCTGCGGTGGCTCAAGTGGTTAAGACGCTGAAGTGCAGGCTGTGGAAGGTCGGTAGTTCAGCAGTTCGAGACCTGAGTGTGCTGCATGACGGAGTGAGCTCCCGTCTCTAGTTCCAGCTCCCGCCAACCTAGCAGTTCGAAAGCAAGAAATTGCTAGTAGATAAATAGGTACCGCTTCGGTGGGAGGGTGACAGCGTTCCGTGCGCCTTGGAGTTTAGTCATGCCGGCCACATGACCACGGAAATGTCTTCGGACAGCGCTGGCTCTTCGGCTTTGACACGGAGATGAGCACCGCAACCCTAGAGTTGGGCTCAACTGGCTTTCGAGCAAGGGAACCTTTGCCTTTACCTTTAACTTCTCTTTAGTTTGGTGTAGTGCTTAGAAGAGCCTATTTGATGTAGCAGTTAGGAGCAGGGACTGTAACTTGGGAGATCCGGGTCTGATTCCCCACTTCTGCACATGAACCCAGCTGGGTAGTGTTGGGGAAGCCACAGTTCTCTCAGAGTTATTCTCTCAAGAGCAGTTCTCAAAGAGCGCTCTCAGCCCCACCTGACTCACAGGATATCTGTTGAGGGAAGAAGAAGGAAAGGAGATGGTAAGCTGCTCTGAGACTTTGGGTGAAGGATGGGGTATAAATTCAAACCCCCTTCCTCTTCCACCTCCTCCTCTTTCTTCTTCTTCTTCTTCTTCTTCTTCTTCTTCTTCTCCCCACTGTCTCTGACAATGTCAGCATGCTCCATGTGACCTCTGGACTCCCTGTTGAGGGCTCTACCCCTGATCATTCGTGGTCAAGAGCCTTCTCCCCTATCATCACCACCGCCAATGAGCACTTTGTGGTTTCTGGCTTCCACTGTGGAGTTGCCAAAGCATCCACCACCACCCCATCACCACTGACACTCCTGGCTCCTGTTCTCTGCAGCATCCAAACAAAGGAAGAGGAGGAGGTAACTGCATTGTTCACCTTTCAAGATCTGAGGAGGGCTAATAATGATAGTATGTTTTGGATGTTTATTAATTCACAGGAAAGCCATGAATGAGAAATGACTTGATAGCACTTAACACATATGCACATCCACACATGCACAATCACATTTCTGCCATTTGCGTGTGTGAGAGAGTTGGTAATAGCCAAACTATTGCTTACTGCCTTTTCCATACAAAGTCTCTCATCATTTCTTGACAAGAGTCTACTTTTGAGGAACATTTTCTTGATGCAAATTTCTCTTTTCCGTTATGGGCAGGTGCTGCCTCTATCTGTGTGCAATAATCATTGTTTTCCTGGCTACAGCAAGAGGAAGAAAGAGGGAGAGAAATCTTGCTGCTATGATTGTTCTCCATGTACAGAAGGGATGTTCTCTGAGCAAATGGGTAGGAGATGTTTTGTGAAACATTATCATTCAGGGTGTACATATGTGGCAGCCCTATGCTGAATCAGATGATCGGTCCATCAAGGTCAGCACTCTCTACTAAGATTGGCTGTGGCTCTCCAGGGTCTTAGGCAGACATTTTTCACATCACCTCCTACCTGATCCTGTTAGCAGTCAGGCCCCTCCTCTTGCAGAGGTGCAGTTTATATCTTAGAGATGAAGAAACACTCTTCTTAAGATATCATATAAAAACATAAGTCCAGGACACTGCCTGGGCCAAAATGACAAAAATGGAAGCCATACAGAAACAAGCCTGGACAAGTTTCTTTGGAAGGTGAGTAACAGCAGCTAACTGTCTACTGTTCCCTCCATCCAGAGATGCATAACTATAGGATAAGGGCTCTCCCAAAACTTTTTGACTCACCCTTGGACCAATCTCATCAAGACCAAACTTACTTCCTCTGCACCCACTTACCCTAATTAGCAAAACTCTCAGGTCTAGTCACCATACCAATTAGCTTCCTGTCAGATATTTGCAGGGTCATCAAACTCCTTTCACACCTTTTACATAACTTTGGCCCCTGTCACACGGGCCGGATATCGCAGGGGGGGAGGCGTGGCTGTTTGCCCTGCAGTGAAAAAATGCACGACTTTGCGATCAGGCATCCCCTCGCAATCCCGGCGAGGTCCAGTGGTTAGGGGGAGGTGCCAATCACAGGACGTGCCAAAGAAGCGGCACGGCACAGCAAATGGGGTTGTGTTTTGTTTTTGTTTTTACCTAAAGTATGCGCATGCCCCATTGGGTGCTTGTGCGCATCCCTGGAGAGCTCGACGAAAAAAAACCCTTTTCGCAATGGGGCATGGGCGGGCGCTGGATGCCACCGGAAACACAATCAGATGCCCGCCCTTGCCCCATGGTTTCCGGAAACTGGTACCTCCAAGGCACTAGTTTTTTGCCGTGCATCTTCCGCGGGAAGCCTCAGTTGAGCCACGGGAGCTCTATGCTTCCCAGATGTGGCGGTGAGATCGCGCCCGGAAAATCCACCTATCTTCCATCTCTGCAGCGTGGCTAATGCTCTGTGTGACTGCAGCCCTAGAAAAACCCATCAGTGGCTGTTCAGACTGGCAGTTTGAAGCGGGAGGGAGTCTTTGCAAAAAAGAACTGGAACAAAGTGTTCCGTTTTTTCCCAGTCACACTGTGCGGACTGATGCGGGAGCATACCGGGAGGAGGCGCGAGGGAGCGTTCACACTTTTGGCCCGGAGGCGCGGCTGTAATCCTTGTGGCAGATGCTTAGGCACCTAGGTGCAGCGGCAAATAGAGCAGAATCCGGCCACTGTGGGCCATAGGCACATCCGGCCTCATCACTACCCCCTCTTCAAGGCAATCACCTGCACTTTCCTGGTGCCAGAGTGAGGCTAGGAGGTCAGTCAGCGTAAACAGCCAGCGCACATTGTTAACGCGGGCTGTTCCCAGCTTTTAGTGGTTAGCGTTCAGACTTCTGGGAAGCGGAATGAAGCGGGATAAATGGGCTCTCCAGGGTTTGCTACCACTTTCACCAGGTATCTTTTAAACTCAGGAGCAAAGTGTTACAAGACGGGTTGAGTACGGTTGGGGAATGCCACAGAGATGTGCCTGTGTGAACGGCCCCTTTAATCCGCTTGTGAAATGTTCCTCACACGGGCCTATATCGGGGCAAACTGCCAGTCTGAACTCGGCCAATGTATTGTTTTGGAGGAATTACAACCGGTTGCCCCTGATGGCCCATTTTGCCCTATATCAAGAGCACATGGCCACCAGGGCAGTGTATGTGTTCTTTGATACATACCCACACCCCCAATCCATTGGGTCTTCTCTTTTTTTCTCCATGAAATACTGGTCATTTTGCTGCTGCCTCCATGGACGTCTTCCCTCCAAGAATGGAAAATATTACCCTCCCCTGAAATGGTTTTTCCCCTTTCTACCTTCCTTAGCTAGCTACTCTCTGTGTCTTTATTGTGTGTGTAGTTTGATTTTTACTCTTTTAGATAAAAACCTTTCTGGGTGAACATTAGCATGGTTTATTTTGAGAGTTCTATAAAGAGGTGGAGATGGAAAACTAGTTTGCAGTGCTTGCTCTGTCTCCTTTAAATTAATTCCCCCAATTAATTAGGGGACAACCTCTTTGAATAACAATCCTTTTAACCTGAGATTCTGTAGATTAAATTTAGGACCATTTGCATGTCAAGCAAATATTCTACCACTGAGCCAGGGCTCCATCTGCATTCTTCCCTAACAGGAATATAAAAACCTGTCATTTGACATGTAGAAATTAGGAAACCCAGTTTTTCATGATGTTGTACATGGCTCTGAGTACGTCAAAGAGGGTGGTTTATAAATGTAATAAGTACTACTACTACTACTACTACTACTACTACTACTACTACTACTACTAAAATGAACAGGTTTATGTTGGTCTTCCAAGAACATTGTAACATCTTTTTACATTAACATGCATCATTTCTCATAAAAGCTAATCTCCAACGGCATCAGTACAGTTGATGAATTTCAGAATTATTGGGGGGGGGGGAACTCTTCTGCAAAAAAATTCAACTTCTTGGGAAAACCAAATCATTTTACAAAAGTGTTAGAAAATATTTTGGCTTCCTATAAGCCACAATGAATTTGAAGGCATTTTGTGTGTGTGTGTGTGTTCCTCCTTCCTTTCTCCCCATACACCTTCCAATGCTATGGTTGCCCGGGGGGGGATGAATATTGATGATTTTCAGCCAAACACAGACAATTCACGAGTGTGTGAAAAGACAGAAGGTGTCTATCCCTCCCTCCCATCCTGCAAGTCTCTTATTTGATCTGACTTACCCTGGGAGTATTATGGTTGAAGAAGAGTTACCTTCACAACATTTTGACACATGTCCTCAAGATGTGTTGTGCAACGGGAACAGAAGGTAACAGAGAGTCTTCCTGCCTGGGCAGAGACTGACAGTTTTCCTGACTGGCTGGCCCCAGGACTATAAGATGTAGCCTCTGACACCTGTATGATCTGGCTGAATTGGTTGCATTGTCTATGTTTGATTTGTATTGCTTGCATCCATCCTGAACCATTTTCGCTGCTTTTGTTTGCCATTACATTCCTTGGGTGGGGCGGGAGAGCGAGTGGGCATAGTGTTCTAGGGAGGATAGCTTTGTAACTTTCCTAAGAGGGCCCCAAGACATCTTTCACATGAGAAATATCCTTGAAGAAAACTGCCTGGCTAGATAGTGGCTGTATATCTTTCAGAATCATTGTAGTAATGCTGACGCACGTGTGTATGGAATTTTTGGGTTTTACCTATATCCTGTTCTTTCCCGGCTTTGCAAATTAGTCCTAACAAAGAGCTTGAACCCACAGTATCTCATATCTCTAAATAAAGCAATCACTGCCAAAGTGTGTGTGGAGAGTAATTTGACTGGGAACCTGACACCAAGCAATCACCATGTTGCGGTGAGAAGCTGGATGAAGAAGGAAGAAGAATTCCTCTCTAGCTTATGCATTCTATTTTTCTTTAAAATGTTTCTCACAGTCTGAAAATATTTAAACACATCTCTTTTCCTCCTTTCAGACATGGAAGCCTGTGTCAAATGCCCCGAGGATCTTTATCCCAGACGAGAAAAAGACCAATGCATCCCCAAGCGTATAAGCTACCTCTCTTACCAAGAATTTCTAGGGAGGGTGCTAGCTATGTTGGCTATTTCTTTATCTACGGTGACAGTCCTGGTGCTTGTCACTTTCATTCAGCACAAGAACACGCCCATTGTCAAAGCCAACAACTGTAGCCTCACCTATATTCTTCTCATCTCCCTCCTGCTCTGCTTCCTCTGTTCACTGCTCTTCATTGGGAAACCTGAGAAAATGACCTGTCTTCTTCGACAAGTGACATTTGGCATGGTTTTCTCTCTGGCCCTTTCCAGTGTGCTGGCCAAAACCATCACTGTGGTTCTGGCCTTCATGGCCACCAAACCAGGATCCAGGATGAGGAAATGGGTGGGCCAAAAAATGTCATATTGTATTGTCCTTTCTGGTTCTGTAATTCAAGCAGCTATTTGTACTCTTTGGCTCAGTACTTCCCCGCCCTTCCCAGATCAGGATATGCACTCGGTGTCTGGGGAGATCATTTTGGGTTGTAACGAAGGGTCAGGTGTCATGTTTTACTGTGTTATGGTCTATATGGGCTTCCTGGCCATTGTCAGTTTCACTGTGGCTTTTCTAGCCAGAAAATTACCTGACAGTTTCAATGAAGCCAAATTCATCACTTTTAGCATGTTGGTCTTTTGCAGTGTTTGGGTGTCCTTCTTCCCAACTTACTTGAGCACCAAAGGGGAATCCATGGTGGTTGTGGAAGTCTTCTCCATCTTGTCATCCAGTGCTGGGTTGTTGGGTTGCATCTTTTCCCCTAAATGTTATATCATTTTGCTGAGGCCAGAGCTGAACAACAGGGATCAGTTAATTAGGAAAGGATAAGAACCCTGAATTAACCTCTCTTATAGATTTATCAACTCAGAAATCCCAGTTCCTAGGGGTCCTTGAAGGAATCCATCACAGTTGAACTGGTTTAGGAGTTCTTCCCGCCCTTTGGAGGGGCATTCTCTCCATCTTTAAACCCCACTGACATCAAGTGCTGACAGCTTCCCTTCCCTGCACTGCAACTCTAAGACCTCACTTTGTGACAGTGTCTCCTGCTATCCAGTGACTGGTTGACATTGGGCCAGCACTTGTGCACCAGGGGCGGAATTAGCGATTTGTCATCTGATCCCCCCCCCTTTCCATCACCCTTTTTCAGTAGTGTGTCCAAATATTGGAAGTCTATGTGCAACCCCATAGCTAACAACGTTTTGCTCGGGGGGGGTTTGGCCGGGGGGGGGGGGACACAATGTTATTCCCAGGTGGGGCCTGTCATTATATATCTGTGTGGTACTGCCATGCCATGCTCATACTTCTAAACAATAACTAAATTAGAAAAGATACCTTTGGACATTTCTCTGCTGGTCTGACATATTTATTGCTTGACAGCTCTTAACCTTATAACCTTAACTTGTCATTTAGTGTCACTTTGCATATCTTGATCCTCACTGTAGATGGAAGGATTTTGGCAGGGATTTAACCTGGGATCAATGGCAAACCCTAGAAGTACACCCTCTGAACCTGCCATTTTCAACAGTAGTCCGGAGATCAGTTGTCATTTCTGCATTTTGGCACCTACCTATGGTTCAGGGTAAATTTAAGAACCTGACTCCTGGTTGAACAAAACAGCGCATTCACCAAACACCTTTGGGGTCTGAGAAAGTTGCTCAGCTGATTGCTGTTTAACGAGGTGACGATCCTTTGCCTCTGTAATGAGGAGCCAGCCTTTCCTCTCAGCTGGGTTGGTTCTGTGCATCCCGGTCATGACGACTGCTGTAAATCTGGGTAAGGGGGGCAGTTCCAATCATTTGACTAAACTACTGCAGAACTATTTTGTAGAAATGAGAGTCTCTCTCCCCATAGGAGAACGTGCTGCTGTTTAGACATCTCAGACTGAGCACTCACCTCCCTGAAGGGTGGGAGGATTTGAAGGAAAGAGCCCATTTTGATTGTTGGGTCAGCCACGATTTATGCACCAGGGGGAGGCTCAGTCTGGACTCGGCCGAAGCAAGACGGCGCCTCCGGGAAGAGGGGTCATTCCACAGCTGCAGTGCTAGGAAAAGCAGGTGTGGATGGGTCATAGCACACACCGCTGGAAGGCACTTACTCTTGCTCTGAGCTGCTCATGGGGAGGGGGAGCTGAGGATCAGGGAAGGGGCCCTTAAAAACCATGGGGGGTGTGGTAGCTACAGGCCTGTCTATGTGGTGAAGAGAAAACAACCACCAGTATTTAGATAGCCAGTTTGGTGTAGTGGTTAGGAGCATTGACTCTAATCTGGGAGAACTGGGTTTGATTCCCCACTCCTCCATATGCAGCTAGCTGGTGACCTTGGGCAAGCCACAGTTCCCTCAGGGCTGTTCTCTTGAGAGCAGTTCTCAAAGAGCTCTCTCAGTCCCACCTACCTCATAGGGTGTCTGTTGTGGAGAAATGAAGAGAAGGAGATTGTGAGCTACTCTGAAGCTTTGAGGCTTCGAGTGAAGGGTGGGGTATAAATCCAATGTCTTCTTTTTTCTCTTCTTCAACAGTATAAACCATTTATTAAAAATGTTCTGTCCACACATAGTTTCTCAGCACAGCAGCAGATTCCATAAGGAATCCAAAAGGAAGTTCTAAACATACATACATACATACATACATACATACATACATACATACATACATACATACATACATACATACATACATACATACATACATACATACATACATACATACATACATACATACATACATACATACATACATACATACATTTTTGATTTCTATACTGCCCATGACCCCCAATGGGTCTCAGAGCGGTTTACACTGAATTACTTCTGTAGTTTGTTACCTGACTAGGGCCACAATTTTTCCGGGGAGGGGGTTACCTAACAGCACCCATACGGCGTATTTCCTCCTCATCCAGCGGCTTCAGACATAGTTCCTGGCCTCCCGGGCGATTGGCGACCATCACAGGCAGGCTCTGATGCTTCCTCCTCTGGCGCGCACTGCTTTCAGACTGCAGCTTCCGGCTATGCGTCCTGTTGGGCTCCTGCCGTGCTGCGTCGTCTCACAGTTGCATCGCCCCGACTCCGCCTCCATCCAATCTGGTCGTCGCCTCCTCGGAATGCCGGATGCCGCCATTGTTCTTTCGCCGCCGCTTTTCTCGCCGCCACCGTCAACACTCCTGGCACGGAACCAGGAGGAGGGTGCCCCCTGCCACCTAGGGCAGGTACCCATTTCTCTACTTGTATTTACTTTCGAGCCGCTGGGTTGGCGGGAGCTGGGACTGGGGCCGGGAGCTCACTCCGGCTGCGGTGGGGATTCGAACAGCCATTATGGCTGTTCGCTATTGATGTTACTTGCAGGCATTGTACTGCCTGCGCCACCGCTCCACATAAAT